TTTCAGGTCAACAACTGATTATTGGCGTATGAAATGTAATCGTTGTCCTGTAAAAGGTGTATCGTGGGAATACTTTTTTTCTGCGCAAGAACTTGATAAAGATTTTGAAAATCAACAAAACTTACCACCATTTGGAGATAATTGCGGTGACTGGAAATTTGAGAGCAGTGTAAAAGGATTTTCTGTTACAATTCAACAAGTACTAAACTGTATCAATAAATTTACTTTCAATTTTCTTAAAAATTTTCGTAATAATAAGCCACCAGTGATGAAATGCCACAAGATGGTTCACACACTTGAGATTACTTTCAACGGCCTTAAGGAATTCAACGAGAACTTTGCTGAATTAAGAAAAAATTATTATTTTAGATCAGAAATGCCTAGACTTGAACTGGGAGATAAGAACTTAAAGCCAGATTTCTTGGAAAACAAATATGTTAATAGTTCAATCAATCGTGAACTGAAATTAGAAACAAATAAAAAATCGGATAAATAATATCAGCATTGATATTGAAGAGTAATAAAATTTTTAGACATTTATAGATTATGTATTTTATGTAATTTTATTTATTTATTTTATTTCTTATTCATAAATATAAACAGTTTTCTTTTTTTTACGATTTTTTTGAGATACTTCTATATGCGTAAAAAACTATTATAAATTATTATTGAATATATTCATTTGTTATTAAAATTATTATTCAGAATTACTTTATGAATTTTTATATATTTATTTTTTATCAGTAAATAGTATATATTATTATTTTCTATGTTCATAAAGTGTAAAAAATGTAAAAATGATCAAAAATTAAGATTTGAATATTATGACATTTGGTATTTAATATAAAATATTTCACAGATTTTCTTTCTTTTTGGGAAAAAAAAAGGTGCAAGTGTTCTGAACCAAAAGGTCATTAGTCGACTTAGCGATTTGGAAGCCGATTCGGCTAAGTCGATTAACAATAGACAAGAACGAAGATTGATGAAGAATCTAACAGAATTTATGATTTGTCATAAATATAAATTCTGTGCTATTATATACCCTGAGATCTTCGTTGGTGTCCTTTTAATAATCTTGCTTTTCGTGTTTATTATAAGCAATTGCTGCAAGGAATAAGTTTGCTATAATAGAAATTTACTTCGAGAGAAAGCATCAAATTTGTGTTGACCCAATAAATAAAAATATGCCTTATTTCATCCTTTTTTTTTATTTTCTTCATTACGATAAGCAAAAGCAGGACATCTTACCTTGAAGGCATTTACCTTATGCTACCCTCTTTTTTGTCTTCTTTGTGGTAACAAAAAAACACGAACGCTTACCTTGGAAGGCATCTCGAATTTTTTTAATGCATTTTTTCCTATTTAACATAAATATTCATTGTTTCTATTGCTTCTCTAGATTTCTCACAAGTATTATTGAGTTCAGGCACCTTTTTAAGAAAAAATTATACAAAAGTTATGTAAAAAACAAATAAATATACAGTATGTGCTTCGAGGGATATGACTGATAGTGTCGTTATGTTATAAAAAAAATCAATTCATATACGATAAAATAATAGAAGAAATCAATTGGTTTTGTTAACCTTTAAGCATAATTCAGAGTAATAAAACAGTAAAAAATTTTTAGAAAAGTAATTTTATAAGCAAATAATAACATTTAGCACGCGGAATATTTCAAAAAAAAATTAAATAAATTAATAAATTATCTTTAATTAACGAATTTCCATACAAAAATATAGTTTAGAAAATTAATTCTGATGATTCGAATTAAATAAAAACAATTAAAAAAAATAAAAGTTTTCTAGAACTTTTCCATTTCTTTTATTATTCTCTTACCCAAATTAACCTATCCTTTAAATTTTTTTTGAAATTACAACCTAATCCAAGGATTCATCTGTTTGCTTTAAATTTCTGTTTCCCCAGCGCGGTCATGAGTATTGACACTTGAAGTGGTTGATCCTTTGGACTTTAGTAATAAATTGGGATCTATAAATTTAAAATTTTATAATTAACAAAAAATCAGGGTCAGGGGCGTTTTATTTAACTAAATACAAAAATCTAACAATTTAAATTAATAATAACACTCTAAACTTAATATTTGTTCTCTTTAATAAACTTATTTTATTTTAATTTAATAATTTGAATAGTAAGTAAATAAGTTTTTTGTAAGTTTATTTATATAATGAATGTAATAGCTTCAATCTACCTGATTATTTTATAGTAAGAGTAATTTCGTTCATTATTTTACTAATTTATTTAATTTTTAAAAAATATTTCGAGTGCACATCTTATTTAGACTCGAATTTAGCATACTTTTTAGTTTATTTCGATTTATTTTTTCAAATAAATGCCTTAAAAAATTACTTGATTAGAATTATACTACTCAATTACGCTGAAAAGTTAACGAATATAATAATCTTTTAGTCATATCACGTGAGGCAGATGTATTTTATTTTTAATTAGGTGTCCGAACTCAATATTATTTAATGAAATATTTGAGTTAAAATAGAAAAAAATTAGATTATTAAATTATTAAAAGAATTTTTTTTGGGGTATATATAATTTATTCTATTGATAGTAAATAAAGAAATATGTAACAAAACACAAATAAATAAAATCAGAAAAGGTAATAATTATCATCAAACAATGAATTATAAATTCAGAAAAAATTAAAATTATTATTTTTATTTCCCATGTCTCAAAAAATAGAAAATATAAATCATTGTCCGGCAGGTCATTCTTTCGAGGATTTCGTTTATTCTTATTACAAAAATCTCATTAAGTCTGATGGAAAATGTTCTTTATGTACCAAAGAACATTTTATCCAAGAGTTTAAAACTTGGTCTAGTGGGAATGCTTACATTGATGATATTATACAAGAATATCAACTATACAAATATGATAAGACCCATTGGATACCTCATGATAAATTCAAAATATTAATTACATAGCAGATGGTCGCCATGCATCTGTGTATTCGGCCAAATTAGAAAATGGAATAAAAGTGGATTGGAATTTTATTAAACAGGGTTGGGAATATCGTTTAATTGGCCGCAAAGTTGCTTTAAAAGAAATAAAAGATTCGAGATATGATATAGCTGAATTTCTTAAAGTGGTATGTTTCTTTATATTTAGAACATGAGTTATTATGAACTGTATGAATATTTGTAGTTTATTAATTGGTCCTTTAATATTAAGATAATGACTATTAATGATTATTGTTATGATTATATTGCTAAATATTATGGAATTTCAAAAATTCCTTCTACACAAAACTTCATTTTGTTATGGATTTATTTGATGATAACTTACATAACTTGTTAACCAGAACTTTTTGGGATTTAGGGTGGAAATCAAAAATACAAATATTAAGTTTAATAGCATCGGGTCTTGAAAGCTTACATGAAAAAAATTTTGTTCATTGTGACCTTCGAAGTGGAAATATTTTGATAGATTATTTTGACTTAGAATTAGAAATAGATTTAAGTTTACGTAATTTTGAAATCATTTAATTTTAAACTCTGACCATAAAAATAACGATCAATTCCATATATTTCACCCGAGGTATTAAAAGGAAATAGATTTACAACGGGGTGTGATATTTACAGTTTTGGTGGAATTATGTATGAAATAGTTACAGCACAACGACTATTTGCTGACCAAGCACATGTCCTTATTTATTCCTGAATGGTATTTAGACTTGATGTATCGATATTGGAGTGATATGTGATTTATTTATGATTTATCACATAAACTTTATTTTAATATAGTGGATGATGATGTTATGTGACAACTTAAAATTGCTGATGAAAATCAGCAAAATACATCAAAATCTCAAAAGCAAGAATTATTTGAATTATTTTAATATTCAAGTAAATTACATCCACAATCATATTATATTAGCCGCTATATTCATACTCTCAATGAATTGCGTGATTTATTAGAAGCAATAAAATCAGGAAAATCTTCCTAGAACAATTTATTTTAATAAATAGATAAATTAATTATAGACTTTTAATTATTAAATTTTTAAATTCATAGATCCTAATTTGTTATAAGTCCAATAAATTAACTACTTCAAGTGTCAATACTCGTAATATTGACTGGGAAAAAGAAATTCAAAGCTGACAGATGAATCGTTGGATTGAGTTGTGAATTTAAAAAAATTTAAAGAATGAGTTAATTTTGATAAGAGAAAGTTAAAAAAAAAATAATAAAAGAAATGGAAAAATCTTATGGAATTTTTTAATTTATTTTTATTTTCGAAATTATATTTTTGTATTGGAATTCTTTTATTAAAGATAATCTATTAAATTATTTATTTCTTTTGAAATATTTCGCGTGCATAAAAATTATAATTTGCTTATAAATTATTTGCTAGAATTTTTTAATGTTTTATTCTCATATTGTTTTTTCGATTACCTAACGACACTTTCAGTTATATCACTCGAAGCACATAGCTTTTGTTATTTTTTTTTTTTAATAAGGCGCCTAAACTCAAGAATACTTGAGAGAAAAGCAATGTTAAATAAGGAAAATTATATTAAAAAAAGGAGATCCCTTCCTAGGTATTGTTCGTATTTTTTTTGTTAACACAAAAATAAATAACAAATATCAATTTTTGATCCATTTTAACATTTTTACACTCTATGAACATATAAAATGATATTATAAACTATTAATTGATAAATAATTTCGAATAATAATTTTAATAACTAATGAATACTATATTTAATAATAATACTTTTATACATATAAGTCACTTTCAAAAAAAAGTCTTCCAAAAAAAAGAAAATTGTTTAAATTTATGAATAAGAAATAAAATAAATAAGATTGCATATAAATATCTGAAAAATTTTATTACTCTTCAATATCAATGCTGATATTATTTAAACAATTATTTATTTGTTTCTGGTCTCAATTCACGTTTGATTGAACTATTAACATATTCATTTTCCAAGAAGTCTGGATCTAAGTTCTTACTACCGAGTTCAAGTTTAGGCATTCTCGTTCCACGGTGAATTAGCTTTCTTAATTCAGCAAAGCCCTCGTTAAATTTCTCAAGGTCATTGAAAGTGATTTCAAGTGTGTGAACCATCTTGGGGCATTTCATCACTGATAATTTATTAAAAAAATTGAAGGGAAGAAAATTGATGGCAGGTTTATTGATACAGTTTAATACTTGTTTAATTGTAACAGAAAATCCTTTCACACTATTTTCAAAATACCAGTCACCAAAATTATCTCTTAATGATGGAAAGTTTCGTTGATTTTTAAAAGTTTTATCAATATCTTGCGCAGCAAAACAGTAGGACCACCTTACACCTTCTATAGGGCAATGTGTATATTCCATATGCCAATAATCAGACGTTGACGTTATACTTTTACTATTTTTAGCATTGTAACTAGCAGTTGCTCCAAGATTTTTTCCGATATTTACACCCAAACCAAAGGTCTTCTCCTTACCGACTGAACGATCAAAAGAGTTATGTTTCTTCGACATACATTCATTTTCAAATATTATCATTTCAGATGTATCACCAGGAATATGTGGTATCGGAGAAACTACAATTTCAACAGAATCAAAATAATATCCAATAAAGTTTTGGAGTTTCAGACATTTTTCATTTAACATTTGTCCTATTCCACATGAAGGTAAATTTACTATGAATTCCAAAGTATTCTTAAGTGGTGACAGAGAAAATTGATCATCATGATCAACACTTGCCCAAAGTTCAACTTTCATATGAAAAGTTTGGAAATCATTCTTATGCGTAACTTTTGCTACAGATGAAACCTTCAGAAATTCATCCCTATTTACTTTCTTTTTTCCACGTCCACTTGCATCTCCACCGCCACCTCCACCTGCGCCTCCACCTCCACCTCCACCTCCACCTCCAGCTCCATCTCCATCTTCACCTCCACCTCCATTGTTATCCTCATCGTCACCATTTGCATCTCCCATCTCCACATCACCATCTGATAAATCATTAGTGATTCCGTTATATGTATTTGATGGATCATTATGATTATCATTACTGCCACTTGTATCTTCATCCATGGGCTCCACCATTTGTTCCACAATTTCATAATTGTGATCAAACAATTCGGAAAGTTTTGCTAAAACTTGTGATTCAAGTGGTTTAGAAACATAACA